GCTTATACTGTTTCCTATGCCTAGAATGCACTTTCCTCCATCTCCACCCATGACATGACTACCATTCGCCTTTTTAGAGTCAGGAAACCTGTCCCAATTCCCAACCACAAACAAGGTTAGTTGCCCCCTCTTCCTATGCCCCCAAAAGCCCTGTGCACATCTCTCAGATATTACCAGATATTACAGTGACCTATTTATGATCTCTTTCCTCTTGCTAGCCCAGCGTTAGGGGAGAGTCAAGCACAGGGACTGCATTATGGTCACTGTTGGTTCTCCAAGGCCCCATGTAGCATCTGGCCCATGAAAGTGTTGGCTGGATGAATGAACTTCTAAGCAGTCTCATTCCTTAGGCCTGGGCTTGGACTTGTGGTTTCCCTGGCTAACATTCAGGGTTTTCTCCCTGGCAAACATGGCAGGTTCAGAGCAGCAGTACCAGCCCTTGTGGCCCTATCAATACTCACATTGGCCTGATACTTGGTCATCACTGTCAGCATGAGCTTGGCATAAGCCATGGACGTGGTGGCTGCCAGCCCCTCTTTACAGAGCTTCTCCATCAATACATTGAACTTCTCGGGGGTCATCTCCACCTGCACACATTGGGAAATGGGACAGTAGAACAAGAAAGGGCCCTGCATTCGATTCCCAACTCCACCATTTTCTCACTAGGTGGCCCTGGGCAGGTCACTTAACCAAACTAAGCCTCAGTTTACACATCTGTAAAATGGGGCTCATAATATCTAACTCTGAAGACTTTGAATGGATTCAATGAGATAATGCACATAAAGCCTGGCACATAGGTCTCAGAAAATGGTGGCTACTGTTGCAAAGGCTCAGATTAGGACCAAGGGAGGCCAAGGATCCCGAGCCTGGCTTAGCGATTGAAGATACACAGGAGTGAGAGGCCCCAAGGGGCACAGCTAGCATAATAATGATAGCTCTTCATAATAATTTAATAAGCTACTATGCATCAAACTTAACCTCTCTGAGCACTTTACACCAATTATCCCATTTAAACCTCATCCCGGTCTTATGAGGTAGGTGCTATCATCACTCCCCTTTTGTAGATGAGGAAACTGAGACATAAAGAGGTTAGGTCAACACCTAAGTTAAAAACAAATGAGGCAGAATTTTAGGTAGATATGGAAAAATTACCAAAATATATTGTTAAGTGAAAAAAAGCAAAATACAGAGCACTGAGCTTGGTGTTACCATCTATGTAGAAAGCAAAGGAAAAGTATATTTAAACATGTGTCCTCGTAGATACAAAGCATCTCTGGGAGGGTTCCCCCAAAACTAGTAACACTGATTAGCCCTGGGGACGGGAATCTGGATGGCTGGGGGACTATTTTTCACTAAATCCTTTTGAGCTTCTAAAATTGTAAACATAAGAATTTATTACCTATACAAAAATTAATTTATACACACATCTGCAAGTCGCTCCCCAGGCCACATAGCCAGTAAGAGGCAAAGATGGGATTTATCACGCAGTCAGCTCCCCGCTACCAGTCCTTCAAGCCCCGCAACTCTCCCCCTGTCACAGGGCACCCTGTTGTGGGGAATTGTCCTGCTTGCCTCTCCATCACCAAAGGGATTGAAACCCTAGAGCGCCACGCCTGTCCACAGCACTGCAGCACTCTGTCCACTCTTTCCCAAGGTGGCCTGCTCACCTGCCGCTCCAGGAGAGACTGCAACACCAAGAAAGTCTCCTCCTTCCAGGGCAGCTCCAAGATCTGTCTGCAAACACAGGCCCTGGTGAGTTAGGCCTGGCCTCCCACCCGAGCCTGGGTATCTACTGCTCCTACCCCAAGGCATGGCAAGGCCCTGGGGACAGCCAGGATCCCAACAGAGGAAGGAGTCAGAGCCCCCAGCCACTGGCNACTTTGGCCACCATATTCTCATTGTGGGTCAGCAAGGAAGGGAACTTGCCAGCTTTATTCAGGCCTGGGCCCAGGATTCGTGGAATCTGCTTGATCAGAGACTCTGAAGCCAAAAAGGCATCATACTTCTTGGCTGGTAAAGAGAGAGTAAGCCATTGGGTGCTGAAAAGGACCCTGAAAAGCAGACCTCCAAACAAGGCTCTGTGAACCAACCACAGAAGTGAACTCTAACCAGTACTCTACCCCTCTCTCCAGATACCAAGTCTTTTTAACCCTCTCTGCATTCCAGTTTGATCAGCTCCATCCTGTGGACTTTTACAGGTCCAACAGTCACGTGAGGCCTGGTATCAGAAGCTTAGGCTGACCCACAATCCATGCTGCACTGCAAATGCACGCCCTGGTGAAGAATGCCGGGGTCCAAATTCTGTCTTACTCTCTAGCTACGCGACAACTGGTGCATCTGTTTCCTATCTGTAAAATGCTTAGACCACATAAACTAAAAAAATTAAAGGACCAGCCAAGGGGCTCAGTTGGTTAAGAGCTCGCTCAAGAGTGTGAGCTCTGAGCAACAGCAGTTCGATTCCCAGCCCAAGCTGAGCAGCCAACAGGTGGCAGGATGGCTCAAAAAAAATAAATTGGAGCATGAAATTGAATTCAGAACACACCAGCAACTGACTTGTCAACATATCTCACCTATTTATAAAGAACCACCACCTAGCCTCCTTCCCTTATAAAATCCAATCCTCAAATATAAAAAGAACCTTCATAAGGCTAAACAACAGCACTCAAATTAGCCAACCACACCAGATCCTTTTGGTTATGATTCTACGTCCCCATTTTTAAACCCCAATGGCAGAACTACCTCAGGAAAACTGTCCGCCCCCCCACCCCCAACACACCACCACACCAGCCACACTCACCCAGCTTCTTGACCAGTTTCTTATTCTTGTTGAGCTTCTTGAGGGCCTCAATGTCCATGTGGGGGATATCCACAGCCTTGGCCTCGTCACAGTGCTGCTGGTCCCCCAGAACACACACGGAGAACTTGGGGCGCGGAGTGGATTTAAGCCTGCGTTTTGGGGACAGAACAGGTCAGGCCCAACCCTGGACCTGAAGGGCAGGTGAGCGGGTCTGGGGCCGCTGCAGTCACTGAGCCTTACCCAGAGTGTTCACGTTCACCAACAGCTAGTCTGGCTTCTCAGACTAGCCGGCGGGCTCGGCCAAGGCCTCCCCACGCCTCCCCTCTTGTTTTAAGACCCAGGGTGGGGGTCCGTCCAGCCGCGCCTGCCCAGAGCAGGGGGTCTGAACTACCCGGGCACGTCAGTGCTGCACATGCCTGCCCACCTCGGGCTCAACAGGAGCCTCAAGGGAGGAGCTGGGCACGGGGGGCACTGAGGGCTGGGTGGGGTCAGAACGGTGCCAACCTGACGGTGCCCGAGAAGCGTTTGTCCTTCTGAGGGTCATAGTTCTTCAAGCTGATCTGCAGCTCCACCGTCTCCAGAAACCTTAAAAGAAAGTAACACGTTAACCGGCCGTCCCCGCGGTTCCCAAACGCCCCCGGGCCCGTCCTCCCGCGGCGGCCCGTCCTTACTTCCGGCGCTTGCGCTGGTTTCCGTGCAGGACCTCCCGCACCGCTTCGTACAGGGTGTCGCGGGAGACTTTGCTGCTGTGAGAAAGAAGCAACACGAGCGCTCAGAACCCGGGCGCCGAGGCGGTCAGTAGCCTCAGGCTTAGAGACGAGGATGCCGGACCCCAAGTCAGGAAATTTGGGTCAGAGAACCAGATGCAGGCCCCAGTAAAGAGGAATCCTACTAGCGGCCTGGCTTGGCGCGTGAACTCGAACGTGGGGCCCGCAGGCCGACGCCCCGCAAGAAATGCCCCACAACGAAAAATGGGCAAGAACCCCCGATTCCGTCCATAGGGTCTCCCTCCCCGCGGGGGCGCCCGGAGGTGCGGATGAGTACAGATAGAAGCCTAAATACCACGCACCTCATATTGCCTCACGCCGCGAAAACCGGAAAAGAGACTACTGCGACTCGCGCATGCGCTCAAATATGGAGCTTGTTCTCGCGAGAGATGCCTTGTTCCTGTGGTTTCCCTCCTGAGCACTATCGGTCACTCAATCCGGGGAGCGCCGCCGTCTGTGACCGCTGGAGGGCGTTGCGGTGCGTAGCGCCGCTAGAGCAGCGCCAGGACGACCTGAGATGCTGAGGTTCAAGATGCCCGCAGCACCCTGAGAATATCCCCTTTTGCGCCAGGTGCTTGCCAGGACCTTTGGGAATAGGCTAAGTCCAGGGCTTGCGCTTCAGAAGTCACATGTACTGGGCACCGCACAGTGATGGCCGCTGAGAGCCTGCAATTCCTGCATGTTTGTCTCTCCGACCTCCTCTGCCCACTTCCTCCTGCCCCCCCCCCTCGCTCCTCCTCCCTCAGTTCTCAAAAGCATGCTTTACTCCTGACCTCTTCCTCCTCATCTTGATCTAATGGGGTCTCACGGCTTCCGAGGAAGTTGTGAGAAGGGAAATACTAAGATCAATTAAGTTCTGTTCCTGGCTCCTCAAAGCCTGCAATGGGGAAGAGCTGGGAAGGTACTGTAATGAACTTCCGCCTGTTAAGTGTTCACTATGAACAAGGCACCTAGCTAGGTGCTATGGGAATGAAAGATGTAAAAGTTATGCCCCCGCACTGCACACCCTTTCTGCCCTTTCCTCTGTCCAACAGGCTGCATCCTCTTCTCTGTGCACAGTAACCCCAGGAGCTCTCTCATCCCTATCTACTCAAACGTCTTCTGCCCCAAAGCCTTCCCCAACTCCAGAATGAGTCACTCCCACCTTTACATCACTCCCCCCACCCCACCCCCTTGGTCCACTGCCCGCCTCACCTACTCAACAGACAGCTGATAGGGATGGGATGGGTGGTATAACATATTATCTGGCCCATAGAACATGAATAAACTTAACCCTACCACCCTCCCCACACAGGACATTTCACGGGGAAAAAGATGTCCTTGTCACTGAGCAGGGTGGAGTGGTGGTGAGTTGATTATGAACAAATACCCAGAGTTAACAGGGAGGCAGACATAGCTTCTAGTAAGACATTATTGAACTTCTTGCTTTTTATTAAATTCCATTGATAAATTATCATTCAAGTCAGAAATAAGAACACAGAAGATCGTAACATACATCCAAGCACAAGAGATTTGTGCTGAGCACACAGGTCCCCCAGAGCTCCTGCAGCATTATTTGTCTATTATGGGTTGGCTGTGACCCTACAGAGGCCTATGGGTACGTTTCTATCCCTGCAGCTAGGTAGAAGTGACAAGGAGTGAGCCAGTATCAGCAGCCCTTGGAATCCAGCTCATCCAGCCCACTTAGCCAGGACCCTCCCGGGTGCCTGGGAGACCAAGATGGCTTCTCTGCAGCCTGGAACAGGGAGGCAGTTGATCCCCGGGATGGCCAGGCTCAGCCTTTCCCCCAGGCAAGAGGTGGTGAGGGCAGAAGTGTTGTTCAGGAAGCTGGTGAGAGAGCTCTAGGGGGTTGGGTCCCTCAGTGGAAGGTCAGGGGGCCAGATGTCTCAGGGTGGCCTGCAGAGACTTCCTCAGGAAAGTGGTGTTGAGTGCTAGGGGGGTGGCCAGGCTCAGCCTCTGGGTCTCAGTGATCTGGGGAGAAGGAAGAACCATGTCAGGACTGCAGCAGCTGATCCCTCCCCTCACCCCTCTGCCCCTGGGCTCTGTTCAGGAAGGAGAGAGGAACCCAGGACACAAGGACGATGGAAGGAGGCGATGACACCCTGAGTAATCGAACCTCAGGATTTCACCATGGTGAAGCAAGGTCTTTGGATTCAGGTGGACCTGGGGTCAAATACTAACTGCACAACTTATTGAGCCACATTAATAACAGTTGACAATTATGGAGTGCTTACTATGTAACAGCACTTTATGTGCATTAGTTCATTTAATCCTCACAACCCTCCCATTTACAGATGAGGAAACTGAGGTTCAGAGACACTCCACTGCAGCTGCCACCTTCCTTCTGGGTCACACTTTGCCCTGACCGTTGTTACAACCTCCTGAGAGGTCTCTGCCTTGTATCTTCACTCTCCAAACCCTATTCCTTACAGAGGCCAGAGCCTTCTTTATAAAATGCAAATCTGACCAAGTCACTCCAGCTGAAGGCCCTGGGAAAACTCCTGGGGCCTCATATTGGAGGTCCTTCTTTCAGGATCTAAAGAGGGTCTGCAGAGGATCCAAGAGCCTCCTGCTATGTGCTCATATATTCAATTTTCTAATAGGAGATATAGCTTTAATCAGATCATCACATGGGCCTGTGACTCCCAAGAAAAGGATGAAGAGTCAATAGCCAAGAACATCTAACCTTCAAGATAAAGTCCAAGCTCCTCACCATAACCTACTCCATAAGATGCTACCATAGCCTGGCAATGTGGCCTTGGGCAAGTTACTTTAACCTCTCTGAATCTCAATTTCCTCATCTGTAAAATGGAGCTAATAATAGTATCTTCTCATAGGGCTAACACATGGGATAAACTAGTGAGTTAACATATGTAAAGGGCTTAGGACAGTGCCTCAGACGTAGCAGGGGCTATGCAAGTATGAGCTCCCGGTATTTTAGCTCTCTAACCTCATCCCCTATCACCATCTACTGTCATGTTTTTAGGCCCCAACTGCAATGAACTACCTGTAGATCCCCTTGGACAGTCACTGCTTATACTGTTTCCTATGCCTAGAATGCACTTTCCTCCATCTCCACCCATGACATGACTACCATTCGCCTTTTTAGAGTCAGGAAACCTGTCCCAATTCCCAACCACAAACAAGGTTAGTTGCCCCCTCTTCCTATGCCCCCAAAAGCCCTGTGCACATCTCTCAGATATTACCAGATATTACAGTGACCTATTTATGATCTCTTTCCTCTTGCTAGCCCAGCGTTAGGGGAGAGTCAAGCACAGGGACTGCATTATGGTCACTGTTGGTTCTCCAAGGCCCCATGTAGCATCTGGCCCACGAAAGTGTTGGCTGGATGAATGAACTCCTAAGCAGTCTCATTCCTTAGGCCTGGGCTTGGACTTGTGGTTTCCCTGGCTAACATTCAGGGTTTTCTCCCTGGCAAACATGGCAGGTTCAGAGCAGCAGTACCAGCCCTTGTGGCCCTATCAATACTCACATTGGCCTGATACTTGGTCATCACTGTCAGCATGAGCTTGGCATAAGCCATGGACGTGGTGGCTGCCAGCTCCTCTTTACAGAGCTTCTCCATCAATACATTGAACTTCTCGGGGGTCATCTCCACCTGCACACATTGGGAAATGGGACAGTAGAACAAGAAAGGGCCCTG